GGTATATACTTACATAGTGAGTGCAGTGCGGACCACCTGGGGGTTGGACACGCTTGAAGCTCTGACTTGAGGGCAGAGGGGAGGCAAGGGCAATATATGTAACCTTAACAACATTTGTACCCCCATAATATGATGAAATAAAAAAAAAGCCCCATTAAAAGCTTATGCACTAAGACTTCATTGAAAAGGACACTTTTAATATAGCAAGATCAAAATAAAGGGCAGTGAGACAGGGAAAGAAAGAAAGCACATACCAGGCAGAACATTACTGCCGCTGCAGCTTCACAAGCACGCATAACTAGTTGCTTCTTCCCAGGGTGCGCCTACCAGACAGGACCTGTGGAACCACTATGACTTAGAATGTTCCTTTAATGGAAGAAATGGAGAAGCATTCACTTGCTGGCTTTTCTACATCTCTCCTCTCCCTTTGGTCTAAGTTCAACTCATGAGGCATGACTTTTTCAACTGTTGACCTTTCTTGGTTGTGTTCCCAGGACCCTGTCCCCTCCTACCCAACCACCAGGCAACCACTAGAGGAGCCAGACTCTATAATAACTTGTAGAATGTGGAAATGGCAGGAGAGCCAGAGTCTCCACAGGTCCAATTAGAGGGGATTAAGAGTGGCTACTACAATTCCATAATAGCGCATGTAGGGAGGCTAAAAGAGAGTGTAGTGTCTGAGGTGAGGCAACAGTGGTGGTGGCTGAGGCTTGACCTTGAGTAAGCAGCTGAGGTTTGGAAGGCAGGTGGGACAAGATGAGGTGCCTGCTTGAAATTTCCCTCCCTTGTTGAGGAAGCAGGAACACATTTTTCATCTTTGACTGAACATTGAAAACTTATTTACTCTATTGTTCTATACAATTTCAATTATTGAAATAAGACTGGAGTTGTGACTTCAAGTGTCTATAAGAATTTTTATTAAGTATAAGAAGAGTCATGGAATCTATCCTAGTTTATTTCTGAGCTCAGGGAAGAACTATCCTCCTTGAAGTCAAGGTTTAAAGAGATAGTAAAATTACTTTTATTAATGTATCTTAAGATTTCTGCATATTCAATTTATTGATTATACTCTAAGCTCTTATAATGCACTTTATTATCTATACTTCTTCACTTCCTATTAATTCTTCAGCACATCACCATTATTCCTTAGCTTAAACCACTTCACTTGAGCTTCTCTGGCCAATATTACCACTAGGGTTACAATTGTTCAAACTTGTAGATTATTATCAGTCCCAACATCATTTGTCTTCTCTGTAGCATTTGTCTATACTCACCACTATTAGTTCTTTAATACCCTCCTGCCTTGATTCTGAGATATCATACCTTCTGGTTCACTTTCCTTCTCTTGGACCTGTCCTTTGAATCTCCCTCCCCTTCAATCCCCACTCTATACTTTAAAAAAATTGATGACCCTGGAGATTCATCCCTGGGGCCATACTTTCTTGATTCTATGTCTTTCCCCAGGATGATTTTTTTTTTCTTTTCTGACAACCCACAGATATTCTAAACTCCAGTCCAGAGAACTCCTTAACTATGGGCTATCTCTGCTTCAAATTCAACATGTCCCAAACTCAAACTCTTTATCTTTTACTTGCAAACTGGCTGCTTCTTCTGGTGTTTACTACCTTGATTTACAGTAGTACCATTAACCATCACCCCACCCTCTGCTGAAGTCAGTAACCTGGGAGTAATCCCAGACTCTTCTTGGACCTTCTTTTCCACATCAAAGCAGTCACCAAGCCCCGGAGATAAAACCTCCAAAGAGCTCATGAACCCATCTGATCCATGTCATCCTCATTGCTACTGCAGTAGATCAGGTCTTTATTGGATCTGACCTGGGATATTACCTTAGCCTGCTTCAGCGTGTTCCTGAAACCATTTCTATTATGTTATTTTAATTTTCTGATCTTTACTATCATGAGAGCTGTTTTTATATTTTTATTTTAACCCTTTTTGGTCTATGAAAGAGCTCAAATTCCTTACAAGTGCAATCATGGCCCTCATAATCTGATAGCTACCTATCTCTTTTGCAATGAAAGAGTGATATGATGAACACAGTGCATGTGCTTTATCATCATCCAGTCCTGGTTCCTCATTCTGGCTTCACTACTCATTATCTCTCTGACTGTGGGCAAAGTAGTAACCTCTCTGAACCTTGGTTTCATCATGGGTAAAATGTGGGTCAACATATATAACCACAATGAAGATTAAATGAAATTGTGCATTTATGATGCATCCAACACATAGACAATGCTCTGTACATTTTACCTTCCTTCTTTTCTCACTTTATTCCCTTTACCCTATATGCTGGCATGCTGACTTGCATGAAATACCTTGAATCTCTTTTTATTATTTCATCCATCTATGACTTTTCATATATTTCCTCTAAAAGTAACTTCCTCTTTGCTGCTGAAAAGCTCTTTCTCATTCTTGAAGATGGAGCTGAAAGCCATGCCTTCTGTAAAGCACACTCTGTTACCCAGAGCAAAGGTAACAATCCTCTTTTTTACCTCTTTCCATATCTTGTGCATTTGCCAGGCAGCTCTTATACCATTGTGTTGTAATAAGGAGGCACTTGGATAAGGAGGGCACACAGTTACATGATACTGTCATTAAAAGCTGGCATGGTGCCAATACAAATAAAAAATGCAAAAAGGACTTCTGAGATGATCTTCCCATCTATGAAATCCTACAGCGGCCAGAGTCTTACTCCAGGATTTTTTTTTTTAATATTAAAAATGAGTATGGAGCTGGGCATGGTGGCTTATGCCTATAATCCCAGCACTGTAGAAAGCCAAGGAGAGAGGATTGTTTGAGGCCAGGAGTTCAAGACCAGCCTGGGCAACATAGTGAGATCCCCATATCTATAAAAAAAATTAGCTGGGTGTAGTGGCATGTAAGTATAGTCCTCAATACTGAGAGGCTGAGGTGGATGGATTGCTTGACCTCAGGACTTCATTTCAGGATACAGTGAGCTGTGATTGCACCACTACATACCAACCTAGGTAGGCGATAGAGCAATACCCCATCTCTTAAAAAAATAATAATGCGTACTGGAAATTTATATGCAATTTCTTGAAAATAATAAGGTTTTACAAAGTAATGCATACATTTAGCAAATGTAGTGATATTAATTAGTCTAAAGAGGAGATACAAATGCTTGAATCCAGGATGCATTTTAACATAGAGGAGATGGCTGGACATTATCCAGCATCACTGAGCCCCAGATAATTGTGCATAGTTTAAATTGCTGAACAAATGCAGATGGAGTAATAGCAAAATTTCCTGAGGGAGGGTGGAAGACACTAAACAATGAAGTATTTCTTCAAGTGGCTATGGTACTTCCTTGATACCTTCTTTCAAGGTTTGATTGAAGGTTATTCTTCTTGAATTCCAGGAATGGACCAGTTGGCCCCTCAAGGTTCCTTATACCCAAATGAACCCACGAATGTCATTGAATAATGAAGAGTTTAGTCTTATGCAAATGTAAGCATAATACATTTTTCTTAAAGCTATTACATTTTACTATAAGCAGTGCTTGCACCAGGGGAGACTAAGGTTCACAGATGGATAGCATAAACCCGTATAATTATACTACATGTCTGCAAATAATTAATTTTCTTTGTGCATGTAATTTGTGTCACTGCCCAAACATCCTCTTTAAAAAATATAACTCAAAATGTGTTGAACGGGGCATCAAGCTTTTTAGTCTTCATGGTGACATATTTCAAGAATAAGTTACAACAGACATGAAAGTAGACAGTTGGCCTGTCTTCTGTGGGGCCTAAGAGTAGTTACTGGGTGACTGACGAGTAATTGTAAAGGCTGAAGGGACTATTTATTGGGTTCCAGACGAAGAATTGCCATGCCATGAGCCAATAGCATGCGGGAAGATGGCAGCCAGCCAGGGGAGCCTGAACTGAGCTCTACTACTGCTCCTTTCTTCACGTGCCCTGCAGAAATGAGCCTCCTATTGTGTGTTCTTTTGCCTTTTTTTCCCACTGATGACTGTGACTCAGTATGGAGATTAACCATCTTTCCACTTCCACACTCTGATCTGACTTTCTAATTCTCCTCTCCTGATCTAAAGGAGCTTTTTCCCCAGAGCTGTGGCTTAGTCCAAATCTGCAGCATGTTATCTGCTCCTTACACTCTTGGGCTAGAACCAAAATGATGTAACGAACATTGCACAGAAAGTCTAAGACTGCTTTTTGCAGCTATATAGCAGCTGCCTACTGACTATAGAACATTTTAAAACTGAGCTCAGTGGTTCTTAGGTAGAGGCAATACCATGCCCTATATTTGTATTTGTGTGGGGGCCTTTTGGTCTCATTGCTATTTCATAGGTGATGGCCAGGGATGCCAATGTCCTGCAATGACTGAGACAGTCCAGCACTTCAAATAATTGTTTTGCCTCACATGCCAATGGTACTCTGCTGAAAAGCAGGTTTAGATTTAGAATTGTCCCCAAGTTGGCCTGATCAGCCAGGAAGCAACCTAAAGTCTCCTTCACTCTTTGCCAAGGAGATTTCATGTGGAAGGAAAGCTAGTTCTATATTGTTTGTTCGAAGCACCAAACACTTCTCATAAAAGGTGGCAATTTATTCCTTACATGAACTTGAGATTCCAAAAAGGGATATAAGACCAGAGTCTGTTTAGGGCTTTGAACATTTCTATCATTCCAGTTAAGTAGGAAAAAAGTATATGTAAGAGGTAACAATGATTTATTGAAACTCTCTTGTATCATGGATTCAGAAGGCTCTCTCTTTGAACACCTCCTAGGCACTTGTTAGCTACGTAATCTTGGCTAAGGTATTTGTTCCATTTCGCCGTCTGCAGGAGTATTACAATACAACGTGGATTGTTGAGAAAATTAGTTTAATGCTAACGTCCTACCACCATGCCTTGGTGCTTGACAAATGTTAGCTAATAATAATAAAAAAAATAATAATTAGCATTAGTGGTAGTGTAATTATTCAGAGTAAGAAAAAAATGAGCTCTATTATTGTGGGCTCAATTGACATTCCATTTAATGTAACATAAAACATTCTCATGTAAAGTAAATATAATACTTAAGCTCTAAAGGGATGGTAAACAAGATAATAATTCTTTGGTAATAAATGTACAAAAGTTCTGTGGAGGAGGAAATGTGGTAAAGAGAAAATTATTTTGTTTTCTGGTACTATTTCTTCTCCTAATTAATTGTATGGCTTCTTCCCATCCCAGGTTTGGTTGTTTTTAACTTTCATAACTGAAGACCTCTTCAAGAGCTAAAGATTTAATTATTATTCAACATTATAATACTGTCCATTAAAACCCCCTACTGTGAGTTTTGTTGCTGAGAGCTTTCATTTAGAAGAACTATTGTGTAATTAGCAGCATCTTGGTATAATTCAGTTTTGGAGGGTGAGAACATTGAAACCATAGGCCCTTGCTCTATTCATCCATCACGTACATCTGTGTACAAGAAAGAACTATACTATGTTGAAGTACAAATATCTTTAGGAAAAAAAATAAAGCGCTCAACAAGATGAATTTTTGAATTCGTATAAGACAAACAATGGTCCTATGTCATTTCTTCCTATCAATTCCAGATGCATGCAAAGATTTACCAGACTTTCCAGTAGTTGCTTTGTTGCTCATGTCTCTAGTGAATCTACAAGAAGATCTATTGTTCTCTTAAAACAATACTCTGCCGCCCAATCTCCCCTGCACAGCTGAAATTTTCAGGTGCGGTTATTGGTGTGTTGGGAGGGGATGGTGGTGGGGAGTTACCTTAGCCCCCTTCAATGGTGATATATTTTCCATATTTTTCAGTTCTTTAGTGGAAATTAGCAGAGGCAGAATTAGTTTTCATTTGTATCTAAAGTAATTGGCTAGGAACTTCCTTAAATAAATAAAGAGGGCTGGGCATGGTGGCTCGTGCCCATAATCCCAGCACTTTGGGAGGCTGAGGCAGAAGCATCACTTGAGACCAGGAGTTCAAAATCAGCCTGGGCAATATAGTGAGATTCCATTTGTACAAAAAATTTTTTAAAAAATTAGCCAGACAGGGTGTCGCACACCTGTAGTCCCAGATTCTTGGGAGGCTGAGATAGGAAGATCTCTTGAGCCCAGGAGTTTGGGGTTATAATGAACTATGACAACAACCTGTATTCTAGCCTGGGCAACAGAGCAAGACCCTGTCTCTAAAAATAAATAAGTATAATGTTTGAGAAAGAGCAATTTTCAATTTATATGTTTAAGAGCTTTTTCTCATTGGGGTCCTGAACTTAGAATTTTGTCCCCTTTCACTCCTTCCTCATGTATAGCTTTTGTTCTTGATTTATTGGAATAGATCATATACTCCTTTCTCCACAAATGTGTAGTATCAGAGTCCAGTGGGTTTAATAAGCCAATGAAAGGCTTAAAAGTTAGAGAACATTAGCTGATTACATAAAATATCTGAAAAGATAAAATAGTGTAAAATGTAGTAGAGAAAATATGAAATTTAATTATATAATATAAATTATTTTATAAAAATTAATTATGTATAATGTGAATAATTCATTATAATAAATATCATTCTATAATAATCTGTGCCATATATTTATATTTAATTAATTTGTATAATTAATAATTTTCATAATTTTATGTAAAGGGGAAAGTTATCAGTCAATGGATTCAGGTGATCAGAAAATAAAACTTCATGGTCTACATGATCATTATTCTTCTGGGAGCATAAGTGTATACTGAGACACTATCTCCTCTACTTCTGTCCCCACATTATATTTGCATTCTGAAATATTTGGGTAGGTAGAGCCAAGGCATGGCAGGGAGGGGTCCACAATCTGGCCCTTATACTGTTGTGCGTTTATGCAGGAATACATCCATTGTCCCATCTGGTGCTCGGTGCCTGCAGACATCTCTGAGCTCTTTGTTTCTGTCTGCAGGCCCCCTTCAGGTCCAGGCACAACTGAGATCTGAGCAGGGCTCATTAACGTGCTAGAACCCTTAGCAAGTTCACTGTAAGTGACTTTACCATCATAGTGGTATAGCTGCCACTTTTGACATGAAAAGTTCCTAAACAAATTGTGACTGTGAGCAAGAATGAAAAAGCCTGATAGTTTTATGTATCAAAGCACAAGATGCCACATAGGAAAACTCAGAGCCACTTGGGAAGGTTTTTTAAAATTTGCATTGGGCAGAAATAGAACCAGAAAATATTGTTGGTTATGTTGTTATTACCTTATCCTACCCAAAGGCTAATGTAGTCTGGGAAATATGAGTTGCACTCATCTTTCTAAAATTTTGTAAGATAATAAAAATGATACATACACAGTGGGTAAGAGGAGATTTTCGTCAAACTTCCAGATCTTAACTCAATTTCTTTTTTTTACCCTGACTTATGCAATTTTCTATGATCCTTGTGTTTTCAATCCCCATGGACACTTCTTCAGAAACTCATAAAGATGTAAAATGCTTCAAAAGAGGAGAACATTTGGAACATAAGCAGGGAAATTATCACTTGATAGATGACAAGCATTGTGAGAAATAACAGTTTGCCTTTTTTCATTCCCTTTCTGGGTATCCTGCCTTTCACATGAGGAAGAAATGAAACACCAGGAGGAATCAGGTTATCATCATCCACACCAGTTACTGTCATTGGGTGAGTATTAGTTTAATAGTCCATCCTGCATGTCAGATGGTACCTGCCCTGCCATCCACTGTGCATGCATTTTGAGTTGTTTCCCACGCAGGAGAAGTTTCTTGGTCACCGTGGGGGCTGCTCTTTTAAAGCAGGAGTTTTCAATCTTCATTGTTCTTATTGAAGAACCCTTTGTTTAAAAGCCCAAGATGTAAAACAGATGAAAACAGAGTTGCTCTGTTGGAAATAGGCAAATAGTGGGCCCATAGCACTGTTCTTTAGCTTCTCCGAGGGCTTTGAAGACCCCTGTTGTATAGCAATTCTAACTTCTCTTTTGAAGGAAAATTTAGGAACACTATGAGTTTTCCCTGGAAGGAGACTCTCCAAGTGGGTGCAGCTCATCAAGTTGCTCTGTCTCTGCTTCCTTCAGTTTCACAGTGGTCTTAGGTTTTGCACACTTTAGGTTCACTCTCATTCTCCTGATGTGCTCCTATTAAATCACTGGCCCTGGGTCCCTCCTCACAGAGGTGATAGGTTGTAATTTCCTACTACTAAAAGCCAATGAGTTGGCTGGGCACGGTGGCTCACGCCTATAATCCTAGCACTATGGGAAGCCAAGGTGAGTAGATTATTTGAGCTCAGGAGTTCGAGACCAGCCTGAGCAAGAATGAGACCCCATCTCTACTAAAAAAAAAATAGAAAGAAATTAGCTGGACAACTAAAAATATATAGAAAAAAAATTAGCCGGGCATGGTGGCGCATGCCTATAGTCCCAGCTACTCGGGAGGCTGAGGCAGCAGGATTGCTTAAGCCCAGGAGTTTGAGGTTGCTGCTCCTCAAGCCCAGGCAACAGAGTGAGACTCTGTTTTAAAAAAAAAAAGTCAATGAGTCATACCTCCAAACTGAAAGCTTGAGGAGGAGGATAAGGAGCATGCCTGTTGTGTTCAGGGTTGCATCCTTTCAGCGTAATGCTGTGCCTGGCACACACTGGGCATTCAGTGGACATATGTGGACTGAGTGAAGGAGGAGATGAATGAGCAGCCAATGGGAGGAGGCACAGAGAGCTCATGAAATATAAAAAGTGCAATAAATGAAGTACATAGTTTTCTAGCGCAGTGATAGCAGTCTTGCCACTAGGCTTGTGAACTTGTCTCATCTCATGCCCCATTTTGAGTCAGATGGACACAAGGGGCACCTCGCAACGTTCCCTGGACTCTTATGGCACTTTTGCTAGCCTGTTTTCACTTAGTACCATCTTAACACTACGTTTTTGTGTATAGTTTTTATGCTCTTCTCTCTGATGCGCCTTGGCATGCCCATGATTAAGGCAAAGGGAGCCTGATACTTTCCCTCAGCTTAATGGAGCACTGTCCTTACTTTCTGGGAATTTTATTTGTTAATTTGTTTGCTTTGTGTAAGAATTACCAGAAATGCCATCATCTATCAGATTAGCCTTTCCTTGTACGCATAGGAAATGAGCTTTACTCTTTCAGTCCTTAATGTGTAGCCATATCTAAATACAATTCTGATTAATAAGAATGGTAACACATAGAGTAATGGAAGCAAAACTGTCCCCTGATACACATAGACAGCACTCAGAATGGAAGGAGGATGGTTGGAAGGTGAAGTAGATCCCTCAACGATGCCAGGTTCTAATTCCCAGAACCCGAAAATATTACCTTATAAGGAAAGAAGATATTTGTAGATGTGATTTAATTAAGGATTTTTAGATAGAGAGATTATCCTGAATTATCAGGGTGAACCCTAAATGCGATCACATGTGTCCTTATGTGGGAGAGGCAGAAGGAGACTTGACACAGTAGATAAGAAGGTACATACACAATGTGAAGATAGAGGCAGAGATTGGAATGATGAAGCCACAATCCAAGGAATGCTGGCAGCCACCACAAAGTGGAATAGTCAAGAAACCAATGCTCCCCTAGACCCTTGGGATGGAGTATGGCCCTGTTGACACCTTGAATTTGACTCAGTGATACTGATGTTGGACTTTTAGGTTCCAGAATGGTGAGAGAATAAATTCTTGTTGTTTAAAGTCACCAACTTTGTAGTAATTTGTGACAGCAGCCATAGAAAACTAATACAGTTGGAAATGTATCCTTTTAAGCTTCAGTTATGAAGCTGCTCATTGACAAGTGTTGCTAGGTTTAAGAATATCTAATATGTGTGGTGTGTGTACATGTATTTGTACATTGACATACACTTGTGCATATATGAACACACATACACATATATATATAGGCAGAGTATCAGTACTGTCACATATTTCCTTGTGGTTGAAATATGTAGGAGTCTTCTGAACCTTGAAGGATTAGAGAGAGAAGCTTTTGAGAGACCAGAACTCCATAAAAAGCAATTCTAATCTGTAAAGTTGAGAGTAGAAAGGATGAGTGCGAATCTGAGATCTCTTTGGAGGCAAATGATGTTATCAGACATTGGTATTACCAGGTAGACACATGAAGCTGACTTATTAGTGGGTTAGGCAATTAGGTACTACTGAAGGGATAGGAAAAATGGACTGAGGGATTTAGCTGTTAAATAAAATATGATATTTGTAAATTAATGCTATAATCTGTTACCTTGTTGTATAAGGCCTCTAGCTTTCATATGCAATGGGCCCTGCCTGCCCTCATGCAGGTAAATGCCTGGTGAATCAAGACACACTTGTTAATAAAGTGTAGTAAGTAAAAGACCCCAAGGGTTGACATCCCTGGTCACATAGCTCCTCTGTTGGTGAACCTTGAGGCAACAGCTCTTAAAAGACCTTAGTAGGACTCAGGCCACACTTTGTCCTCTGATGGAAGCATGAGCAATGTCTACTGCTTGCTAACCGTACCCAGTCAGTTTGTGAGCAGGAGTAGGTAAACCCTCCTTGACAAATCTACCCTTTTACTTGCTGACAAACCTTTGTGGTCTTTTGATCTTGAGCTATTTCAGTAGTGTTCTTGTGCAGACTTTTTCCTGTGCCTTTTCATGACTGAGAACCTTCTTTCCAAGAGGCCAGGCTGAAATAAAGCACTTAACCTTGGCCTCAAAGCAGAACAAAGTCAATGGGCTTTCTTCAGGATTGGGCTTTCTTTAGGATTGTGTTCCAGTCAGATCTTCTGTATAAATTACAGATGTCAAAGCTCCTCTAAATGTTCTGGGTAGTGGAAAGTACAGAATAGCTATCTTGACATTTTAAAGCCATCTGTGCATGAGCTTCAAAATTCTCATTATGTCACGTAAGAAGAGGATTGTTCGCACATAAGCACTTATGATTTCTAACTGCTCCATGGTTCTGGAGTTCTGAACAATTAGTTTTGAAACCAAAACTAATCATTCTGATAGATTTTTCAAAAGGCTTTACAAACCTCTTTATAATTACTACAGGAACCCTTGGTTTTTGTGGCAAGGTAGGAACCTCCAACTTGCTGTTTAACTTGCTAATTTTCTCACTCAGTTGATCATAAGCTTTTTACATTAATACTTCTATATTGCAGAAATATGATTGTCTTGTCATCACCGTGGTGTGATGAAGGGACTTAGTTTTACCACAATCCTGTAGGATGTTTGATTTCCTCTAGCTTTTGAAGTTTAGAAAATTACAGCTCTCAGCAATGTTTTAATATTTTTCTAAAGAAATGGCAAAGACATAAAACTCATGTTTGTTTGATTCTGTTCTGTATTACAGGCCTTCAAAGTTCAGCCTCCCTGGAACTCCAGCGTGCCCCACTCTAGAAGTTGAATGGCTAATTGGTTCCTAGTACATAAGGAAACACTGGCAAAATAGCAGTACATACGAAATATTTCTCTTTATGATTGAAAAAGCAGTCAAACATAGATGTACTTCTAAAGCAACAGGGAAAAAGCATGCATTAACACATTGACTGCCATATGAGTTGTATTTAACTCAGGCTAGTTTTGAGCCTGGGGCTTTGTGAAGCAAAACCCTGCAGTTGGTTCGTGAAAATCTTATTTCTTGATGTTCTTATTGTTACAATTAATATTGACAATTTAATTCTAAAAACATGGATTGTGTTGCATATAACTCACGCACAGAAAACAATAAAAAATAACAAATTAGAAAGGATCGTTTTCTTTTAATAAAACACCATAGCCCCAGGGAAAATTTTTTTTTCCTAGTGTGGCAGTCAATGTGTTAAATTAAAAAGCATAGTTTTCCATTTGTAAGTAATTTTGCTATGTGCTGCTTAGATGAGATTGTTTAGTTAAGGCTACATTTCTGGAACAGAGGGTTAGACAGAGACAGCATAGCACACTAGTAAAAGACACTAAAGTTTTTTATTTCCTCATTCGTTCATTAAAGAAACATTTTCTTGGTGACTACTTTATGTTCAGCAATATGACACATTTTTGTAGATAATTCAATGAGACAATATGTCTGTATCAACTTCTGCTTTCAAGGAACTTAGAGGATTTAAGATACAGAGTAAGGTACTAGGTAAGTATTACAAAGATAATGGTTAAAAAAATTTATTGGACTCTGTGTCAGGTGCAAGATATTAACACAAATGAACACATCTACTCTTCACAATAGTCATCTAAGGGAGGTAGTGGTTTTCTAGGTAAGAAATTTGAAACCCAAAGCTCTATGGTGAGTAAACTGTAGAGCTGAGATTAAAATTTAGGTGCTTCATTTCCTAGCCTGGCTATGCTATCTCACTATGCTAGAATGCCTCTTGTTAGAATGTACAATTAAGTTCAAGTGAAAAGCACTGAATAAATTAAGCTTCACTTCAACAGAGAGATATCTTTTTAGATAGAATCAGTCATCAAAAGTTTTATGGAAGAGATCAGACTATGGCTTGGATAAGGCTACGTTTGAGCATGACAGAAAATGAAGGGGTGATTATGGATTAAGGGTACAGAGGTGGCAAAGAATGAAGATAGAAGGAAACCATACAGCTAGAGTGGAGGGCATATATGAGGAAGTAATGGAAAGTCAGGTTCCCTCTCCCAACATTTTATTATAAAGCTTTTCAAATACTCAGAAAAATTAGCTTGGGCAACCTAGCAGGACCCCCATCTCTAAAAACAAAAACAAAAGCAAATATTCAGAAGAATTGAAAGAATTGTACAGTGAGCAAGCATATGTCACTACCTTATTCTACCCTTTATGTTTCAGTGTATTTGCTTTATCACACACCTGTCCATGTACATACCTCTCTTTCTATAAGTAAATCCATTTTATTAATTAATTCATTTCAAAGTAAGTTGCAAACATCAGTATACTTCACCCTTAAATACTTAGTCATGATATATATAAAGGTGAAATCAATATTTGTTTAGTTATTTTTTGGAAGTAAAATTTATGTAAAATGAATGCACACATCTTAAATGTACCTTTCAATAAGTTTGACAACTGCATATACATTTGTGAAATAACCCTTTGTCAAAATACAGAACATTACTATCACCCCTAAAATTTCTCTTTTTCCTTTGTAATTTAGTTTTTGTAACTGTCACCTTAGAAATAACCAATGTTATGACATTTTTCAACTGTAGATGAATTTGCCTTTTCTAGGACTTCATATAAAAACGATCATTTTTTTATGTAAAAAAAAATTCTTTCATTCAGTATAGTGTTTTTGAGATTCATTCATTCATTTTGTTGTATGAGTAATTTATTCTATTTAATAGCTGAGTGGGATTTCATTTTACGAATATACTGCAGTTTGTTTATCCATTTGTCTATTGATGACCACCTGGATTGTTTTGAGTTTGAGCTATCATGAATAAAACATGCTATTAATATTCTCGTATACATTTTCTTAGGAAAATACCTAGTAGTGGAATTGCTAGATCATAAGGTAAATGTGTGTAGTTTCATGAGAAATTTCCATATCTTTGCCCAATTTCCATTAAAAATGTATGAAACTTCCAGTTACTCCATATTCTTGCCAACATTTAGTGTGGCAGAAGCTAAGTGTTAAGAGGCGAATACTGGCAATTGTGAAGGTACTAAGCTTTGTTGCTAAGGCTCCATCTTAAGTAGCAGGCAGTCCCTGAGGAGCCCACACTGGAGGACAGCCTGGGGAATGTGGTGTTTGGTAATCCGGTGGTGGGCTACAAGACAGTTTTGAAAAGTAAGGAACTATAGAGAGGGTCTAAGAAGGTTGTACTAATTTAGCCATAATTTAGTGATGGCTTACATTAAAAGCAAGGAAATGGCCATTGAAAATAAAAAAAAAATCATAAAACTTCATGAAGGAGTAATCTAATGTATTTGGCGCCAATAAGTAGGTAGATAAGTGATTTCTGAAGTGAGTATATGAAAAATGGTGTCACCATTATTATGTGTAGGCAAACAAAAAGAGAGTATTGGTTTGGTAATTATCTAGTTATTGGTTATATGTATCCACAAACCAGCAAAATTGGTTATATGTTTCCATAGACCATCTCTTACTAGGAGGAAAAATGAAAGGAATAACATTGGAATAGGTAAAGGTCAATGATGGTGATGATCTCCACTTCTTCTATAAATTTTCCTGAAAGAAAACAAATACCTGTAAGTTGCTACAGAAACCAGCAACTAAGAATTCACCTACAAAGAACCATATGATATGAGTTGCTTTATTCTCAATGCTATAGATTTGCATATTCTGTCTCTTCTGCCTGAAATGCCTTTCCTTGACTGCTCTACCGGGTTCCATTAACTTAGAAGACATAATCGAAATACGGCTTATCCTGATTGCTATGACACTTCACACTCACCTTTCTTGCAGAATTTATTGGGTTGCCCTAGCATTGTCTGCTTCGTATGCTTCTGTTCTTGCTGTACCATTCCCCTTGCTCAGTGTTTGTTACTTAGATGCATAAAAATATTTGCTGAATGAATGAGGTGCCTCAACTTCTATCCTCTCTACATTAAAATTTCAATTTCTTCAATTACTCCCTCATCTTTATTTCCCTTTTAGAGAAAAAATAACTCTTCCTTTCCTTAAAAATTAATCATCTCTTCTACCCAGTCTTGTCATTTATCCTCTGTATGTTCTTTTTTAGCTTCTTTAGTATTATTAAAAGATCTTGTATTTATATATATGATCAAGTCTTCTCCTACCCTAAAATAATATTCCTTTAATTTTGTTACCCATCTCTGTCATTCTCCTGGATTTCTCCTTGTGCAACCAAACTTTTAGAAAGAGTTGTTTCCACTGCTTTCTTCCCATACCTTATTACCTATACCTTGAACAACCATGTCTTTGTCCATTGCTCCAACTACTCTGTGAAAATAGTCCTCCCAAAAGTTATATACAATTTACAGATCCAATGGCTTTGACTTCCTCTTCAAATTCCTCAACACATCTGCAAATTTCGCAGTGTAGAAAATCCTTGCTTGCCTCACTGGAATTCTCTCCTTCATAGGCTCCCTTAACATTCTGCTGTCTTTAACATCTGCTATGAGACCGACATAGTACTAGATACATTACAAATGTTATCACATTTGACCAAAGCAAAGAATCTTCTCCAGTCTCTTCCTGAAAAACAGAACATATCCAAAGTCTTTAGCTTGCATTCAGAAGTTGTGGGAGTTAGTCTCACCAAACATTGTTGATCTTTTCTCTTACTGTCTTCTCAATCCTGCTAAATCCACTCTACCATTACAATATTCATTGCAACCTATACTTACTGAATACATTTCTACTCAAAATAGAAATAGTAATGAGACTATTTTTCTAGGGCTACCATATGCTTATGTTACTATGCATATTATATCATTTAATCCTAAGAACGACTTTGTGATATATAATCATTCCTACTTTACCCATAAAAAAACTGAGGCTCATATGGATTAAATAGTAAAGATTATTGGTATATAATGAACAGAGGAGCCACGGATGAGCTGATTTGCACATTTGCTTAACTGTTGCATCGAGAATGTTACCTCTGTCTTCACTCATTCTCTTTCTTCTGCCCGAATGTCCTTACTCTACATAAGGATATCATATTATCCAAATCTTAACCATCTGTCAAAGTATATTTGGAATGCCATCTCTTCCAAGTAGTTTTATTTTCACTGATTTTTCTGACTGGAAGCAATTTTTTCCCCTCTGAACTCCCATGGCATTTAAAAAAATTATTAGTAGATTTTATTTTTTACAGCAGGTTTAGGATTGCAGAAAAGTTGAGCAGAAAGTACAGAGTTCCCATATACTCCCCCTTTCCCTACACACACACACAGTTTCCTCTATTATTAACATCTTGCATTAGTGGGATACATTTGTTACAACTGATGAACTAATATGGGTACCTAAATGGTAACTAAAGTGCTTAGTCTACATTAGGGTTCATGCTTTGTATTGTACAATTCTATGGTTTTGACAAATGCATGATGTCATATATACACCATTACAGGATGAGGAAGAATGCTTTTACTGTCCTAAAAATCGCCTGTGCTCCACCTCTCTCCCTCCCCACAGATTTCTGGCAACTACTTATCTTTTTACTGTCTCTGGTTTCGTCTAGAATGTTATATAAACAGCATTCATATAGTTGGAATCATGCAGCGTGTAGTTTTTTCAGAGCAGCTTCTTTCACTTAGCTGACAATATGTATTTAAGTTTCCTTCATGTAATTTCATGGCTTGACAGCTCATTCTTTTTATTGGTGAATAATATTTTGTTGTATAGATGTACCACAGTTCTTTATTCCTTTACCTATTGAAAGATATCTTGGTTGCTTTCAATTTTTTTAAATTATAAATAATGCTGTTATAAACATTTGTGTGGACATAAGCTTTCAACTCATTTGGGTAAATACCTAAGATGTCAATTGCCAGACTGTCTGATAAGATTATGTTTAGTTTTGTAAGAAAGTGCCAAATTTTCTTCAAAAGTGGCTGTACCAATTTGCTCTTTCTGCAGC